AGTACGCGAGCAACCTGGGTTCAATCCCCACCGGTACCAATGAAATTGTTAATTGCAATTTTAAGTGCTTATTTACCACGTGCTCGGCGATGAAGGAACACATCGTGAGGAAACCTGCATGTCTGAGAAATAAGAAAAAAAATTGAAGACATGTGAAGTTCGCCAACATGCATTGGGCAGTGTGGCGGACATTTCCTTGCCCTAAAACCCTCTTAGAAATGAAGGGAGGCCTGTGCCCAGCATTGGGATGGATATAGGCTGTAACTTTCATATTGGTTTGGATTTTGATTATATTTAATAATTCGAATAGATTCCAGTCGGTAAAACATCCATTATTATACAATATACTTCCTATACGATTTTTTGTAGTAAATAATTATTTAACACAAACGAAAAAAAATAAAAATTTACCCTACCCAACTTGGTCAGCTAGCTTCCCTCGAAGCTGCTAACCCACGGCGTGTACACCACCCTATATTCCCCGAAATTCAAATAGCAGATGGGCTACAGCATTTTCCTGATAACAAAAAAGTCCTGTTGCCAACCCGCCCACGTAGCGTAGCACCTATGGCAACACTACCTCCCCCTCCTGTATACTGAAATACCCAGAAGACGGGGAGTAACGAAATGTCATGTATTACAATCGTTAAACCGTTTGACGTTTAATCCTGTCTACAATTGAAGGACCATGTCTAGTAGTGAACTTTTATGCGCTGGTAATAAACGAAAAAATAGCAATCTTAATATATAAATATGAAGACCTCGTTGATCGAGCATCCAGTTGTCACCTTTCTTGAAAAATAAGACTACCACAATTATGCTCCACGCCTCCGGAGTAGTGCTACAGAGGAATTTAAAAACATTTCTTGGACTTTTCGAAAGTTACAACATATAAAAAATAGCTTCTTCCTTGTATACAAAACTCTGAAAGGGACTGGAACCTTGGTTCAATTCAATCGCTTTTTCAACACGAGCTGTATAGAAGTTATGTTAGTCTCGCCGAATGCATTTGGAAATGTCTGTTTAATTGCCAGTATATGTAACACATCGTGAGGAAACCTGCATGTCTGAGAAATAAGAAAAAAAATTGAAGACATGTGAAGTTCGCCAACATGCATTCCAACATATCTGTTGGAGAATGCAGCTTCGTTTCCTTTCAAACAGCCATAACATCAAAAATGTGTTCGGAAAGATTTTTGCGTTCTTCTACTACGGATTTTTTTTTTGAAATGTCTGTTTAATTGCCAGTATATGTAATTTTATATCTGTTGGAGAATGCAGCTTCGTTTCCTTTCAAACAGCCATAACATCAAAAATGTGTTCGGAAAGATTTTTGCGTTCTTCTACTACGGATCTTTTTTTGAAATGTCTGTTTAATTGCCAGTATATGTAATTTTATATCTGTTGGAGAATGCAGCTTCGTTTCCTTTCAAACAGCCATAACATCAAAAATGTGTTCGGAAAGATTTTTGCGTTCTTCTACTACGGATCTTTTTTTTATATTCTACTAAGCCAGCGCTTAACTACAATTCCACCTGATGGTAAGTGGTGATGTAGACTAAGATGGTGAAGCGCACTGACTTAACAAAATCCTATTCACACTTTCCTTGATGCTGGCAACTTATTCCACTCCTTTGCTGAACGCATGATGAACGATGTAGCGAACCGTTTGGTTCGAATGCGTGGTAAGTCAACAACGAAAGGTTGCAGGCTGGCCGAACGTCTCGTTGTCCGATGGTGGAAAAGAGAGGGAGGAATTAAGTTATGCAATTCCTGCGCACACTCTCCGAAATACAAAATCTTGCAAAACTGAGCTCCGGCTGCATGGACAATTTCCACGAGCTTATCTTCTATATTATGTTATATTCTAGGCAGTAAAAACGATTTATCTCAGCTTGAGTTTCGGGGGAAATGTTATAGGGGCTTTGGATTAGAGTACGAGGAGTATGGAGTGGAAGTGTTGACTTAGCTAATGTCTAACAATCGCTACCAATTTTCACCCTTGCAATCAATTGCGACTATTTCATGCCGACACACCGCTTGCAACTTTTCGGGGCACAAATTTGGCCTCTCATAAAATACTGTTACATCTCCAGTACCAGCTCCTTTCACTTGACCGAATGCAGCAAAGAGCGGCCCGATTTGTTGACGATCGAGTTCTTTCTGATCGATTTGATTCACTGGCGCTGCGTCTTTTCGCATTATTTCATCCGAGATACACAGTAGAATAGAGATTCAGTCGTCAAATTTAACCATCGCACATCGCGACAAAACTCACGACCACACCATCAAAATGCTTGGAGATTCACTATTATGCAACTCACAAGGAGTTTTCTTCCTCCCATGATTTCTTTGTAGAATCGGCTACTACCGGCGATTTTTTTCAAACCGACTTAGGGAATTTCAAGAAACGAGTTAATTGCATGTGTTCATGGTTATGGTTAATACTACGTTATTGTAGTACCACGATAGGGTCGGCACCATCGAGGTAGGGGCATGCTCTCATAACATTCCAGTGTAGTTAATAATAAAATAGCAGCATAATTCTGCTGCGTATGGTAAGTATAGAGAACCAGGGCCTCTTTTTACTGGAAATTAGACTTTCCGTCTTATTCCTGAGGGGTAACAACGCATATGTATTATGATTTTCAATAGAGAATAGATTTGTGTACGTTTGGACGGCGGTTGCCACTTAACATCAGATGAGCCACGTGCTCGTTTGCTCCCTATTCACAAAGTATATTAGGACACATACATACAATTTGTAATCGAATAATTTTTTAGTTGGGTGTGAATATTCTAAAAAGTTATTTTTCAAAAAACCACACGGTCATTGCTTTTTCATTAATCAGTCGAACAACTGTTGACCAACAGCTCAATTAATTATCATCATTTATTTTTTATTACAGCCCTTTACAAGTCCACAGCTAAACATAGGCCTTCTGAAAATGCCACAAAGCACGGTCTTGAGCTCTTTACATCCATCAATTTCTAGCGTATCTTATCAAGGCATCACTCCATCTAGTGGGAGTCTATCCTACACTTCGCTTACCGGTACGAGGTTGCCACTCGAGAACCTCTCTTCCCCATCGATTGTCAGTTCTTCGAACTACATGGTTGGCCCATTGCCACTTCAGCTTCCTAATTCGTTGGTATATGTTGGTTACACTAGTTCGACATCAGATATCCTAATTTTTAAGTCTATCACGCATAGGTAGAAACCCTGAGTACAGCCCTCACCATACCTTGAGCTGAGCTTCCTCATACGGCCAGCAGTGAAGAACCACGTCTCAGATCCATATTTCATCACTGGCAACAAACTCTGGTTGTATAATCATGTTTTAAAAACCTAACGAGATGTGTCGTAATCTTCCGAACGCTGCCCAGTCTAGTTGAATCCATCAAACTTTTGAAGATGCTACAGCCCCTTTAGCAGTGCCAAGTCGGTATATCAAAAAAGCAATGAAATGTTTGTTCTGTAGGATTACGACGACTATCCGAGTTCAGAACCAGAGTACGAAACATATCCAATTGCAGAGAGGTGTAAGATAGGGTGAGGTTGTATTCCTGAAACTCTTCACCGCTACATTAGAAGACGTTTTCAAGCTACTGAACTGGAAAGGATAGGGTATTAATATCAATGGCGAGTACATCACTACAACACCGAAGATATATTCCTTATGGCAGAATCGCTGGAGAACCTAAGCACTATGCTCAATAACTTCAACAAAGTCTCGAAACGGATAGGTTTTAAAATGAAAATAGACAAAACAAAGCACTTGTACATGTGTAACGTACATGTCACACCTAATCCGATAGTTGTTGGGAGACTGCGCTCAAACTTTTTGACGAGTATGTTTACCTAGGACATATAGTTCGAATAGTTAAGTCCAACTTCACCGATAGATCAATCAGATCCAATAAGTCTTCAATATCGGATCGGATTCAATAATTATTACCATGTATTGGGAAGCACATACGCTCGATTAAATAGTCGTTTCGTGACTATTTAGTTTTGCACTGGCGCCGTTGGAACAGCATACCTTCTTTTAGTTGCACGCTGGTTGTATCCCTTTGTTGCCTCTTACGACACCCACGGGACGATGTGGAGTAGTGGATATGGTAGGTAGGTATGGTAGTTCAGTCTTCTGTACTCTTAAATCCAAATTAAGCTTTTTACTGGTAACAAATCATTCCATCTAAGTCATCGGGGGTAATGTGGCATCTGCATTTTGATTCATAGATGTAGGTGCTTAATTGACCAGAGTATCCTAAATTCAAAATTATAAGTAGCAAGTGTGAATTCTTTACTTCGCTTCAAAACTCTCACCCTTTTTTAATTTATAAAATAATTCCAAAAATAATATACGTATTAATTACTTTTGTATGTCTATATATTTAGTCAATATTTATATATTTTTTTAATCTATTAATTATTATTAAGAGAAGTTTTAAGAATTTCGCATTCAGTTACAGGTACGAGTATATTATACTTTAATCGGTTTAATACGTATCAAAAGCTCTGAAGCGCAGTGTGTAGGCTCCGTAGCACAGTAGCTAAGTAGCTAAGCATTTAGCTACGAAACTACGAAGCCGCGAGTTCATAGTCCGTATAGAAGAAGCGTTTTAATTGCCTACAAGTATTTGTTTCGGATCAGGATGTTTGTCTATGAGCAATCTTGTATATGGCGCCCCCACAATACAGCAGATAATCCTTTCGTTGGTGTAAGGTTTGTTTATTAAAAGAATTTATTGTTTAAGAAAAATTACTTGCAACTACAATAGCATTTGTTCTTAAATATTCGTGCTAAATTTAACGCTGATGCGATAAGATCGAAGGTATCAGCGATACGGAAACAATCATGACACAATCACCTATAAACCAACATTTTTTTAACAATGCTTTTGCCGAATTTATTTTAAAGTATAGCCCTATGGTCATCTATAGAAGTTCCTTGGACACAAAATATAAATTAAACAATAGTAAAGTGCTAACTTACGCAGATGTAGTAGAGGGTGAGGCCCCTGCTCCGAGCAAGCACGTCTACCGCGTGCACTGACTAGCACTTCGCGCTTAGGACGCTCCGGTAACACTTCTTCGGTCAAATCATCTTCACTTCTCGTATCACCACCGCCCTCATCGCGGTTTTCTTCCATTACGCACGTCGAAATCACAATTGGGTTTACCGTAAAAAAAATTTACGAAACTGCACACTTCACAATAACACTAAAACTGCACCACTACACGAGTCAATATCGCAATAAAATTAATCTCATCTAGTTACAAAGTTCCACAAGTCTTGTTGTCTTTTAACGCCCTCGATCGTTTAATTAGTTTACTATACAAACTTTCGCGCGGCACTAATAAAACAAGTTTGTTAGTAAATCTTTGAGTCCCAAATGCGTAGAAACCTGTAACAAGAAAGTTACCATTAAAATCTTGAGTCTAAAACATTTTTAATTAAATTAGCAATCTTATAATGGCTTGCCATAATTAACCTACACTACACGTTATTTAAAATTAACAAATACTGGTAGGTTTATACAATCATCAACAACAATAGCCTCTAAAAATTCCACAGCTGAACATTGAATCAAGAATGCGCGTCATGTTACCATCCTAAGCAGTTGAGTAAGCGAGTGCAGAGCCCATTCTAAAATTCGAGCTCATCATTATTTAATGGAATTTCAATCATTAGTTGTACCCCTAAGCTTCATACGTCAATCAGCAGGGTATACCCAATACCACGTGCATTTTGGCACATGGTAAGAAAATGGCGTATTCTCCCTTACATACTTAATTTATCTAGATATTATAACTTTTCGAATTTGTAATGTAATGAACAAATATTACACATGACGTATATTTTCTACTAGTTGTTCCCCGCGACTTCGCCCGCGTGTTATTTGGAGTTATCATTTTTTTGCGGGAACCCTAATTCTTTTTCTAAAATAAAAATAGCCTAAGTTACTCCTTGTGACATCAGCTATCTGCCAGTAAAAATCCCGTCTCAATCGGTCCAGCCGTTTCGGAGATTAGCCGGAACAAACAGACAGACAGGCGGACAGACAGACAGGCAGACAGACAAAAACTTTAAAAATTGTATTTTTGTTATTAGTACCGTATATATTTTCATCTGCATATACTCGTAGTAAAAAGTTGTAATATTGACATTACAAACAGACACTTCAATTTTATTTATTTGTATAGATGTATAGATTTCACCATGCGAATATCCACTACCCCATATCGTCCACACGATGGGATAACAAATCAAAAGACTTCCTAACAACAATTTAAAAATGAAAAACTGACACGTCTGCCATGCGCGGCACCTATGGCAAATATCTCCCCTATGAAGCAGTCATTGGTGAAGTTGTATAATCAGCCGAATACTTTTGATAGATTGTAACGTTCACGGTAATGAAAATGTAAATTTTTTGTAAAACAATTATAGTATTACTTTTCACATTTTCTTGAAGAATCAAACTTTTAGAGTATTATTTAAAGGGTCCACATAGTATTCATGTTTTTTCAGCAGAGAAATGTAATCTAGCAGCAGAAATAGATAATTGGTCAGCAAACATTATTAAATCAATCGGCAATTTTTGACATTCTGGACGGCTGTAATGTTTTTAGTACAGCACATTAATCATATAAGCTGCAATGAGTGACTCATGTTTATAAAATTTTGATAAGCATTAAAAAATAATAAATATTATTAGTATTGTTAAGCAAATGTACGCGTCAGCCGCAGCTTAACCTACTGTCGCTGATATTACTTGATACGTATTTCCGTATTTTTACAAATTTAACAGTATACATAATTTTAATAACATATTTCTTTGCTAACTAATCGTGAATCTTGCTGATCAATTAAGTATTTTGCGGCTTGACAGTTTATTAGGCAAACTCGTATTATTGTAAGCTGCCTATTTATGATTAAATTATTGAACATTTTCACGATTATTTGCGGAACAAGAATTGCCGAATGTATTTTTTTTATTGCAAAAAAAAATCTTTGAATGCTAACCAAATTATTTAAATGCTGTTTTTGTGCCTAACCAAATTTTATTACGGCGTAACATTTGATTACTTTTCAAACTTTTACATAATATGTGACAGTATGACACGGCCGCGGCCCCATATTCAGACGTATTATGTGTCATTTGACATAACAACTTAATTTAAATTACAGTTTTATGTTATACCTACTAGCTTCGCTAGGCTTTGTATGGGTAGTATTTATTAATGTGGCGTTGTTGAGATTTATTCAAAAGATATATTTTTTTTAATTTCCGTGTTTTTCGGATAAAATATAACCTAGATCATTCCTGACATTGCTTTCTGTTTATGAAGTTTTATTACAATCAGTTCAGCCATTCCGAAGATTAGTCATAGATCAGACAAACAGACAGACAGACTAATATTAAAAAAATAGTTATCAATGTCTTAATAGCATGCAATTAAGCTTATTATAAGTTATCTTGATATTACAGACACAATCATTTTATTTATATTTATTATAGATGCACGCTCTTAGAAAAGAGAGAAGGCCTGTACTCAGCAGTGAAATGTATACATGATGTAACGTTGTAAACCTTGACCTTTTTTATAACATTTTTAACATGTAATTTATAAATAAAACTGAGAAACCTATAAAAACTTCCCTAAACGTCAAAACCATTCTCCGTTACCAGCTGTTATACTCACTACTGCCATCTAACGCTACCGTCTACTTCTTGTAATGCAGTGAAATTATTTCTTCCGAAAAACCTTCCTCGCGTTTTCTATCCCTTCAGCATCAATACATTATTTTTTACCCCATTAATATTAATTTCTTATCATAATACATATGTCCTGCCTATTACTCTTCAAGCATCCTTATCCGAACGAATGTTAATAAAAATTTTAAACGAAAGGTAATATTGCTAACTTGTTTAGTGATTTATGTAGTAATTATAATCTAAACATACATATTAATGTACCAACTCGCAAAGATTCATGTATTGACCATGTCCTTAGGAATATCAAAGTCGCTACTGCCAAAGTGATTCCCCTATATCTATCGGATCATGACACCGCACAGCTTTTAAGTTTTCCAATTCGTCAATCTTTTAAACCAAGGTCATTTACTATATTGAGAAAGGACTAAAGTTGTGAAAACATCCGCAAATTAAGGGAGGGAGTGTCTAGACAGTATGACTTGGAGCAAAATTTACTCGTACACTGATCTCAACACGGCATTCGCAGAGTTTCATTTTGAACTTTGTCTATTCTACAACCTATGTTTCCCAGTCAAAAAATTTGGATCAATAATTCTAATACACATAAACCAAAATGGATAAGCAACGGGCTGAAAACTAGCTGTAAAACAAAACGGTTATTACGTTTCAGATACTATAAAAGTAAAACGGAAAAAAAATAAAAATGAATATTTAAGGTACTCCAAAATTCTAAGAAAATGCATTGACAATTCAAAAAAGAATTCTAATATGAAATTTATTAATAATAGTAAAAATAAATGTAAAGCGACATGGACAATAATAAAAAATGAAACCTCTTATTCTGAAGTAAATAATAACATTTCTGAAATAAATTTTGACCATGAGATATTGACCAATCCTTCTGACATAGCTGCGGCTTTCAATAATTATTTCATTGAATTGACTAATTTTAAAGATACTACAATGACTAATACACAACGAAATCAAAGTACCAAGATTATGCCAAATTCAATGTTTTTTATTCCAATAAATGAAGATGAAGTTAAAAAAGAAATTACTAGCCTAAACAATACTAACTCCAAGGGTTTTGACGAAATCTGTACGAGAATTATTAAAGAATGTACTAAAGAGCTTGTGCCCATCTTAAGACACCTTATAAATCTTTCATTTTCTATGGGTATTTTTCCTGAGTTGCTGAAGCAATCTATCGTCAAGCCTCTGCAAAAAAAGGTGCAAAAGATGAGGTCAGCAATCCTATCTAAGATATTTGAGAAATGCATGCATCAAAGAATAATGAACTACTGTAACACGTATAATATTATTAATAAAGAACAGTTTGGATTTCAAAAGGAAAAGTCCACAACATTAGCAATCTTCACTCTAGTTAAAATAATATTAAATAATTTAAATGACGGATATTTGACCACAGGACTATTTTTTGACATGTCAAATGCTTTTGATTTTGTTGATCACAAACTTTTAATAAATAAATTAGAATCAATAGGAATAAGAGAACCCACTTATCGGTGGCTAAAATTATACTTAAACAATCGAAATCAACGCGTAGTAGTCAGCAAGTTAGTAGGCAACGAAGTTATATCTTACGCTTCTGAATCAAAAATTGTTGAGTGTGGTATCCCCCAAGGAAGTGTGCTAGGGCCTCTAATGTTTATTTTATATATTAACCATATAACGGTAGTGACAAATCCTAAATGTATTTTGTTCGCCGATGATCTATCTATTATTGTGACATCTGATAAGAACTCTATACACGATCACGATATTGATATAATTAAAACAATTGACAACGTTATTAAATGGCTAAACGTAAACAATTTAAAACTAAATCTAAATAAATCACATATTATCCAATTTAATCAATCCAAACATAAACTACTAAATTTTAAGCTAAATATTAATAAAATAAAGGAAATAAGGTCTACCAAGTTTCTGGGAGTAGTCATAGACCAGGACCTAAACTGAAAATTACATATCGAGTCTTTGTGTAATCGTATTAATAGTTTTGTATATGCCCTTAACAAAATGAGAAAAGTGACAACCTTACAAACGGCTCTTATTACATACCTCGCGTATATAGCTTCCATTTTGCGCTACGGGATAATAATGTGGGGAAATATCACAAATATACAAAAGGCGTTTATAGCTCAAAAAAAGTGTATTAGAGCTATCTCTGGAATACCACCTGGCATATCCTGTAGAACAGCTTTTGCAAATCTCAACATACTTCCGCTGCCGGCACTATATATTTTTGAAATAAGCTGTTTCGTGAAGAGAAATATCAATTTGTTTATGAAAGCAAGTGACATGAACACAAGATTGAAGCGAAATCCTAATAGACTTGTGTTAGACGTTATCTCAAGGTCAGCTAAATACCATAAAAGTTGCTTAAAATGTGTTTAACGATATAT